GAAGCACTCTCCAATTTTAAGCAGTTCCGAGAAGAAGTCAAAGGAGAACTCACCAAAAAGATTTGTTTCCTACACACATACAATGGGGGAGAGTATATATCAAAGGAGTCGTATGACTACTTCAAGTAGCACAAGATTCAGTGACAACTAATATGCCCAAATACTCCGCAACAAGACAGGAAAAGAAAGAATCGTCATCTTGCAGAGATGTACCGAAACATGCTTCATGCCAAGAATGTGCCATGACATTTTTGTATGAAGTGTATGAAGACTACAGTGCACGTGATCAATCGGCTACCACAACCGAAACTAGACTTCATGTCACCTTTTTAGAAACTATGGAATATCAAACCAACTGTAAGCCACTTCAGAGTTTACGGCTGTGTGTGTTATATACTTATGCCTGATCATTTGCGCGGCAAGTTCGACTAAAATGCCATAACGTGTATTTTTGTGGGTTATGACAACAAAAGAAAAGGATGGAGATATGGTAATCCCACAATCGGCCGGTGCTACGTATCAAGAAATATAGTGTTTGATGAAGCCTCGTCTTGATAGACTCCATAAGAAGTTGTGCTCCTAGACTCCAATGATCTAGAGTATCGGTTACAGGAGAAGTTAGGGGAGTTAAATCAAGAAGAAAAATTACAACAATCAAAGAAGACAGAACCAAGTTCTCCGAAGAAAAAGAATCCACGAAAGATTAGTGTTCATCAAATAACATCAGAAAAGGAGCGTCCGAGTCAGATAGAAGATATTGATGAAGAACAAATAGGATTGGTTCAACAAAGATCGATCAGACCTAAGAAGTCAAATCCCATGTATGCTGATGTTGATGTAATAGAAGATGTGAAGGAGCCATCTAGGAATGAAGAACGGAGACAAGTTGTGAAAGAAGCAATCCACGCATTTAAGAAGAATTTAGAATTTCATTTGGACTCATGAATAGAGAAGTCAATGATGAGGGGGAGTATGAAAATCATCACCAAGCTACCTATCCCCACCTACCCTAGCCACCATTTCTAAAGTAACCAAGAGTAACCACCTACCCGCCCATAGTGTTTACCAACCACAATATTAAGGCTATAGTAACCCCCTAAAGCATTTAGTGTATTCCATCCCAGTAGCGAGAAAAAGAGAAAAACAAGAGAGAAATAAAGAGGGAGAGAAAGAAATAAAGAGAGGGAGAGAAAGTAAGAAAAACAGTAGTGTGTTGTAAAAGAGTGTAGTAGTTTGTAGTAGAGAGAGTGTTAGTATTGGAGAGAATATAGAAGGTTGTGCTACTAAAGAAATAATAATAAAATATTTCTTAGTGTCCGGCACCCTTCTCAACTCAACAAGTGATATCAGAGCCACTCTTAACTCAATATAGGTGTGCATGAAAGTACAGCGAATTGGTTGTGGTCATGAGCATCCACGATCAAACTAAAGCATTGCATGAGAATACAAGAATCATCCAAATATAATCTACAACAAAATGGTGTTGCTGAGAGAAGAAATAGAACGCTCTACCACAAATAAATTCAACAATATCTTTTAGGGAGATGTACTACTAATTGTAGTCAATTAACCAAACTATGTCACTTCGAAGGTAGTTTCTTCCACGTCGTATATGAGTTATGGATCTGCAAAAAACCCAAGCTAAGGCATTTATATGCCACCATGAGACTCAGTGGCTTATGTGCATCCAAATTTCCATCCATGAAGGAAGTTAGACCAAGAGGGAAGAAGTAAATATTTAACCTTTATTTGAAGCATTCGACACGATATGCAGGGGCAGAGCATTGTGGGGGCGGGGAGTGCCATGCCCGCCCCCCTCAACCTCATGTCATTTTACACATACATTATACATAGTAGGTTAAAATATCCAAGCCTACTAGATTGCGTAATAGGATGGAGAATGAATTTCTTACCGACAGTTTGCTTATTTTTATTAAGAAAGATACTATGAAGACCTTTGATTTAGATTCACTGCTTGAAGATTTTGTTTTTGTTACAGAGTGTCGTGCACAATTTTAGAATTAATGTTTTCACTGAGATTTTTTTTATCAAACTCTATACATATGCTTTTATGATTAGTTTTATAATATTTTTTTCCATCATTGTACATATATATTTTTGGCCCTCCCAATGTTTAAATCCTAGCTATGCCACTGGCGATATGTATACTTAGAAAACACAAGAAAATAAATGTGTAATCGAGAATTTTAGTCTCGAGATGTAGAGTTTCTCAAAAAGGGCCTTCCTCACAAAGGAGAGATTTGTATTTCTATGCATTTGAGAACAACTAATCCAGTAGCACTGTTGAGCAAGAAGATTTTGGGTCTATGCTAATGGGAAACAGTAGGGGTTGAACTCTAATGGAACATCTAATGCCATAATGGAATTTATAGTAGTCATGACCTTTTTCTTTTTCACAGCCGTGACTCCTCCCTGCATGGACAATTTCCCAAATTATCCTAAGAAGCAGAGGCTACATAAATTCTTGTCCAGCTATATGCAAAGTACTGCAATCGCAGGACTCTAAGATACTGATAGCTGAATATTACAACTTCTAGTCATCTGAACGAAAATAATAGCATTAAAGTAATCATTTTTCCTTTAACAAATAAAGATATAAGCTTAGATCCCTTAAGTTATTCCTCAAACTACTCTGCTACATTTCAAGTAAAGTCAATTTTCCATAAGCAGTTAAATATAGGAGAGAAGAAGATGATCATTAAAAATTATGTAAAGAGGAGACGCATATAATGAGGATCACAACATAAAGGGACTAAAAACCTACGGCAAATGGACCCAGAAAACAGTCCCAAGTGTCAGAATACCTGTAAGTGTCCAACAGGGGGATATCCCATAAAATTGACACATGAAGGTGACTATCTTACCTCAATTTGCCTACAATAGTTGCGTGCACAATGAGTAATCAACTAAATAATTGTGTATAATTCATCAATAGTCCTAGATGTTCATTGGAAAAATCTACCATTAATATCTTGTGTTTCCATAATGCTCTAGTTTGTAACAAAATTGTGATGTTGTCACAGCATGTTGGCTGTCATGCATTCTGAAAATACTGCCTAAAACCAGAAATAGAAACACAGAGATGGACAAGAATTTCACCAATCAGAATCAAACCCAATCGTGCAGGAAAAGCACAAGACAGGATTCAAAGAAGTGGTTAATCAATTTCGACCTAGAAAAATCACAAGAACACTCCTTATACGAACGCACACTAGCGTAAAGCCATCATTCTCTTGCATTTTACTAGTAGCAAGATCGGATCATAAA